GTTGTTTTAAAATTCTAGACAGAAATTAAAATCAAAGATTTTTGTTTTAAATAAGTCTTTTCTATTAAAGTTTGGCTATGGTTTTACCTAAAACAAAAATATTTTGAAACAAAAGATTATGACGTTTAAAAAATAAGACAAAAACATAATGATGGAACGAATTTTTTTTACTAAATTCTCTTCCTTTACGCAATGGAAACAATATACAACTAGATCTTTTTCTTTTTGCTCATTCCTATTTTTGTATTTATAAATAAAGTGATTGGAAAGGTTAAATGTTATATATTTATTTATTACTAAAATAAATGAGGGTGGGTATTCGAACGCATTACCTTTTTGTAGGATATAAGTGTCTAAGCCATTTGAACTATGGTTACCCGAATCATATTTATATATTTTTGAAACTACAATTTTTATAAAAGTTATTAATGTATGTATTAGTTAAATTGTATTGTCAAAACGAGCATAGCTTAACGGTAATTGACATATACCTCCAACCAAAAAGTTGTGAGTTCGAATCTCCTCTCCAGGATGTTGTACTAAAAAAATTGTAAAATCTTAATCACTATTTAATATTAATGGTTGTGGTTGAAAAAAAAATTGTAATAAACTTTGCCAAACATAATTCACTGATTTAGACATCTTACTCATTTGCTTGAGGTCGGAGGTTCAATTTCCATTTCCATCTCCAAATATGTTGTCCTACAAGGACAAACAAACTTTATTTAATTTTGTGAAATAATTGAGAAAATTAATTGTTATTTGATATAAGCCTTCATCTTGGAGATTCGAAAAAATGCACCATCAAACGAAAATAATAAGTGTCCCATCAATTAACAACCAAACATAAGTACACATATATTTAGAAAATATTGTTCACACATATTGGTCCCATTAGTCATGAGTTGTTTGGAAGTTTAATAAATAAAAAAGCTTTTGTTAATATCTTTTTTCATTAGTTCATGTGTATGAAATAATCGAATCTTAATTAATGATTATTAAAAGCAAGACTTTTGCATATAAATGATAATAATACTGAAATTAACTCTGACTTTGCTTAATAAATTTGTTATCTTTCAATAAATCTCTAAAGATTGGAAACCTTTTGAATAAAAAATTTATAATCTAAGCACACACATGCACTTTAACATAAAAATGAAGAAGCCAATGTAAAAGATTGTTCAATCATTAATACTGGGCTTTATATTATTTAACTTTATATATCATGAAATCTACGTAGTTTTTCACTAGCGAAAATTTTAAAAATACAGAACAGAAAAAAGAGAGCTCCCCACGTGAAATATGAAATTTAGAGAATTATTAATTATATTCACAGGCTCATGGTATAGAATTTTTGTTGAAGCATTATCAAAAATGAATAATTGAGAAAAAAAAATAAAAAAGTGATATGTGGATATTCGAGCATATCCACATTAGGTTGATTAAATGGATCGGCATTATTGCATCTGCCATAAGTGACGTGGATCCTCGCTGTCTGGTCTATAAAAGTCTACAAGAACCCATTTACCAGATCGATCCATTTTCACCAATAAGATGACGCCACGTCATCCGCGTGGAACCCACGTGTGCGCGGTGCGCTGTTTTATCCACCGGATTCTAGTAGGCCCGCCTTTGATCCGAATATTTGGTATATAAAACCCGGAGTCTTCCAATTGATTCCACACCCACCACAACATTCTCTGTGAAAAGTTTCACAGCGCGGTAATTTGAAATGGCAGGCGCTGCGGCCAAAACTCCGGCGGCCGGACGGAATTTCCCGGGTTTCGGAGTTTCGAGACGGCTGGGGTCTAGCTTTTCCGACATGGTTTTTGGGTTTCTGGACG